ACTAGCGATGTGGAGCATCTTTTCATGTGCCTGTTGGTCATCTAACTTTCTTCTTTGGAGAACTGTCTGTTCAACTCCTCTGCCCATTTTTTAATTGGATTATTTGCTTTTTGTTTGTTGAGATGCATGAGCTCTTTATATATTTTGGATGTCAACCCTTTATCAGATCTGTCATTTATGAATATATTCTCCCATACTGTAGGATGCCTTTTTGTTTTATTGGTGGTGTCCTTTGCTGTACAGAAGCTTTTCAGTTTCAGGTAGTCCCACTTGTTCATTTTTGCTTTTGTTTCCCTTGTCCAGGGAGATATGTTCATGAAGAAGTCGCTCATGTTTATGTCCAAGAGATTTTTACCTATGTTTTTTTCTAAGAGTTTTATGGTTTCATGACTTACATTCAGGTCTTTGATCCATTTCAAATTTACTTTTGTGTGTGGAGTTAGACAATGATCCAGTTTCATTCTCTTACATGTAGCTGTCCAGTTTTGCCAACACTAGCTGTTGAAGAGGCTGTCATTTCCCCATTGTATGTCCATGGCTCCTTTATCATATATCAATTGACCATATATGTTTCGGTTTTCTAGATATTTTTTAAAGATTTCTTAATTTTAGGCTTAAAAACTAATGTTATTCTTTTACTACAAACGAAGAAATTTCACCAGCAATTTAAAACATTTCTTACACAAAGGTATGTATTTCTACAAAATAAGACAGGAATACATGTATGTATATATATAACATAGACCTGCACATACATGTAATACATTCTTATTCCACGATTTGGATCATGTGAATAATTGTTTTGATCTCAGCTCAGTCACATTAACTCAATGAAGAGTCACTAGTGACACTAGTTAAGTCTGTCTACAATGTTGTCTACCATAACTGATAACTGAATTCCAAATAAATCTTTGTTCTCCCAAGACAGAGTCAGTAGAACATCCACAGGACTTCGTTAAGAAAGTGGAATGGCATTAATCTGGTTCTACTCCCTGGGCCATCATTTTTCTTTCTAAGCTTCATCTGTACAACAATCATGAGACCTACTTCATGCAATTGTGAGGATTAAATAAGCGCTAATGCATAGGTTGCATAGTAATTGATTGATCAATGTTAGCTGCTAGGATTATTAAGCATTATAATCTCGGTTTCATTCACAAAAGTTATTCTTGAAGTCTCTCAGTGCATCATTGTGCTGACTTTTACACAATATGTGTAGTCATAAAAATGCCTGGAAAGTTTCAAAAGGACCATTATTGAAATTCTACAGTACTTTACAAGTACTTTTAAATCCCCAATCAAACACTAATACTTAAGAGCACATGCTCTATGCCAGGCACTGTGATAACCTTATCTCATTCTTGAAACAATCCCACGGAGGTAGGTTCTACTATCATCTCCATTTTTGTAGATGAGTAAACTAAGAGACACAGCCAACTTGGTCAGGTGACTAAGACAGCTGAACTCCTGTCTGTCAGGCTGCCAAGTCAGTGCTTGAATCACAAAGCTCATGCTGGAAGCTGAAAGACAGAGTGTCAAAGGGGTGGGGGAGAGGACTTGCCCTGGTCCTTAGCAGGCGTGGACAAGAAAACCCAGGGGCAAGTGGTGACTCTGAAAACCCCCTTCCTCTGCAGAGTGACAAAGCAAGGAGAGGAGAGGAGTTGGGCCTGGGTGTGAAAAGATCTGCCTTCTCCCCCCAGCCATTGGACTATAGGTAAGGCTGTCTCAAAGCGTGTTTCCTATCAACAGAATGGGAGTACTGGACAGGGCAACCATTGAGGGCTTCCAGCCCTGGGATAATGAGCTCTTTAGGCCCATTCCAGTCCCAGAGGAGGGCAGCTGACCTGAGCAACAGGTCTCAGTCATATAGGGTCAGTAATGGAGGTTGCAATGCTCAGCTCAGACGTCTGGAGCCCATGGGAGGGCAGATGGCAGAAGGAAAGGAAATACAGGGGTCTTCGCAGGATTGGGGACCCATATTATTGGGGGTCCTAGCACAAATGGGGGGCCTTAACAGGTTAAGAGGCCCTGATTGGTTTAGGGATCCTTGCAAGATAAGAAGTCACTAATAAGATTGGCAACTTATACAGAATAAGGGATCCCTGGCATACCTGGGAGTCGGGCGCTGACAGGAATAGGGGTCCTGACAGAATGTGGCAGGGCGAGGGGTAGGAGGTGCTAGCAGACCCGGGGCACTTTTTACAGGATTGTTAGCACCATAGTAGGGCTGAGGAGCTTGACAAGATTGAGGGGCGCTGGCAGGCCAGGAACTGATATGACTCGGGAGCCCAGAAGGATTGTGATTCTAAAGGACTAAGGGGTCCTGGAAGGCTTGCGAGGCACTGAGAGGTCCTAGGGACACTGACAGAATTCAGCACTTCGACGAGCCTGAGGGTCCCTGAAAGTCCTGGGGACAATGACAGGATGGAGGAGGCACTAGCAGGCGGGGGGAGAGCACTGACAGAATTTGGGGCGCTAGCAGAACTGGGGCGTGGAGCCAGAATTGGCGTTGTCAAAGAAGTGGAGGCTCTAGAGGCCGGTCGCCCCTCCCGCCTCCCGCCTCAGGGCCTGGGCCTCCAACCTGCCGGACGCAGAAGCTTGCGGAATGCTTTCTCCGGCCCTCGGGACTCTGGCTAGGGCGTGAAAAGGCTGCCTCAGACCGAGGCTGGGAACCCTAGTCCCGGCCTCTCCGCCCGCCCCGCCCCCCAAAGCTCACCTGACAGCCGCCCCGGTCCGCAGAAAGCGCTGGATGGCCCTGTCGGCCGCAGTCATCACCGCCTCGGCCCCGGAGCTCAACATCGCTCAGGGCCGCGCAGGAGGCCCGCCGCCACCCCCGCCGCTGTCCCCGCCGCTGTCCCCGCCGTTACCACCGCGCCTGGACAGAGGGCTCCCCGGGCTCCCGAGACGGCGGAACCTGCGGCCGAAGTCCCAGCTCCTCCAGGGAAGATAGACCGAAGCACGGACTCCCGGGAGAACCGGAAGCAGCTACCATCGGAGAACAATAGACGACGGACCATGTCCTTTTTTTTTTCTTTTCCCCCTTAGCAACGGGCCCAGGCGTCGGTTACTAAGGGAGGCCTTGCGGTCGCGGACGCTTGGTTGGCAACTTTTGCCCCAGCTCCCTTCATAAATACAGATGTCCCACTGATGCCCAGGTTCTTGTTTGAGGAGTCAAAGAGTGAACTGAGCAAACAATCAAGGTAGGAGAGCCAGGGAGACTTTTATTGAGAGAGTGAGAGGACAGAGCGCCTGGCGCGAGCCAGAAGGGGACAAGAGAGCCCGGAGTGGTGCATTGCCTAGGGGTTTTATAGGCAGTTGAGGACTTTTGGAAACCAGATAAAAAGCTTAGGTGTGTGGACTTGTTAAGTGGTCCCTGAATATTAAAACCTAACACAAGAAATTTACTGCTCTGATTTCTCCATAGGATACTGGCGTCTTGGTCTAGGAACGTTATCAAAAGGCCGCCTGCCCAGCCCCTGAGGTGGGCTGAGGTATTGTCTGTTTGCTAAAGAGTAAGTTAAGAATCTTCTTAAACTTCCTGGGTGATAAAATGGAATCTTATCTTTAAGGTGGAATGCTTCTTGCCTTTTATTATGTTGTTTACAGCTGGGTCTGCATGCTGAATTAGTTGCCCAGTTTGCAAAATCACCTTATCAGATCTGAAGGAGGAAAGACAGCACATAGGCCTGGGCCTTTAGCATGCTAAGGTGAATCTTACACATGATTACAAATGATTAGCATAATAAAAACATGTTCTACTCTTCTTTACCTGGGGAATATTAACTGATCTCACTGAAGAATGACTCTAGAGCTTAATGTTCAACACAGAGTTTTGGTAGGGGGTTTTCCTTGCATATAGTTACATTGCTCTGACTGCAAATATCCTGCCTTGCTTTTTCCAGAGGCCCTCATTCTATTCTGTCTAAGCCCATGGTCCCTGTCTCACCATTTCCAGAAAGGACGCTGGGTCATTTTAAGTTTTCAGTGTGAAGAGGCCTCAGCCACCATATTATTGTCGTCAGAATGGAAACAGGTCACAGAGGAAGGACCTTTACCAAGCATGTAAAGAGCCCGTCTCTGAAGGCATGAATGGAAACTGAGGCATTGAATAAAAACAGCCACCAAACGTATTGTTTACTTAAATGCTCTGCTAAGTACATCACATGCAAAATTCATATTAAATCTTTACACCAACCCTGCCTGACATTACACACATTTTACAGCCCAGGAAACCCAAAAAGGTTAGAGAAGCAATGTCTTGTAATCCAGCTTGTAAGTGGTAGAAACAAGATCGGCAGTCCAGACCATGTGTCTCCAGAGAGCGCTGTCCAATAGAAATATAAGGAAAGCTGCATTTTAAATTTTTAGTAGTCACATTAAAAATAAAAAAGATTAAAAATTTTTAATTCGTTAGTTAAAAACCCAGATGAAATTAATTTTAATAATAGCTTTTATTTGACCCAATATGTCCAAAATATTGTCCTTTATATGTAAAATTTATTAATGAAATATTTTCATTATTTTTCTGTTCTAAGTACACCTTAATTTGAACTAACATGTGCTTGATAGCCACATGTGGCCAGTAGCTACCACATTGGACCACACGGCTTATAAAGCTAGAGAGAATTTGCCTCCCTTTTAATCACTTTCCCAACTCCAGAGCAAGTAATTGTCATTGCTTTAGTAAAGAAATCAATGCTTTACTCAGTGGGTTCTCAAAACTTTTGATCTCAGGATCCCTTGGTAGGCTTAAACATTATGGAGAGCTTTCATTTATGGGGTTATAGCTAACTATACTTATATTATTAGAAAACAAAGTTGAGAAATAATGTTTAGTTTTTTAAAAAATTAAAGTATATTTTATACATTAAAATTCACCTATGTTTAGTGCGTAGTTCTGAATTTTGGCAAATGCATAGTCATGTAACCACTACCATAACCAACATATAGAATCACCACCCCCCTAAAATCATTACCCCCTGTCCCTTTGTAGTCAGCTCCTCTATCCAACCCGAGCAGATGGAAACCACCAATTAAGACTGAGAAAAAATTTTAAACCCAGGAATACCAAAGCATACATTCCATTAAACATCAAAGCCATGACCTCATCACATGTTGTGTAGTCTCTGGAAAACTCCAGGGCACACTCATGAGTGAATGGAATGGGAAAGGCAAATAATGTCTTAATGTTTTGTGCAAATGGTTTTGACCTCAACACCCCCCTGATGGGTGCCCCAGAAGGGCTCCTGTAACTATGCTGCAGCCACTACTTTAGCCTCCTGAGTGAATACCCTGATTTCCCATCCCCATATCTGCTCAGAGTCTACATTCTAGGCTCTTTTAAGTAACTGGCATTTATAGAGTATAGCCAATCAATTCACAAATATTTTTTAGCATTTTACAAGCCTTATCTCTATTGAATTCTCGTAATGACCACATGAGTCACAACAGTATAGACAGTCCCTGGCTTAAAATGTTTCAGCTTAACTATTTTTCTTCAACCTTATGATGGTGTGAAAACACTGGGCATTCGATTTGAATTTTGATCTTTTCCTGGACCAGCAACATGCAGTAGGATATTCTCTCACAATGCTGGCAGCAGCTGAAAGGCACAGGTCGGTCAGCCAGGCAATCAGCAGGGTGAATAACCCACACATTTAGAACCATTCTGTATGCGAACAGCCGTTCTGTTGCTTACTTTCAGTACAGTATTCAGTAAATTACTGGAGATATTCAACACTTAATTATAAATTTGGCCTTTTTTTGCAGATGATTTTGCCCAAACGTAGGCTAATGTGTTGTGAGCACGTTTAAGATAGGCGAGGTAAAGCTATGATTTTCAGTAGTTAGGTGTATTAAATGCATTTTCAACTTACATTTTTAATTTACGATGTAGTTATTGGGATGCAACCCCGTCTAAGCGGAGGAAGATGTGTATTCCATATTACAGAAGTTAACAATATTTCCTGCAGCTTGCTGTTCCTCTCACCAGTAGGATGTGGCTGTCACTGACCAACAAATGTTTTATAATAGTGTTTATAGAGATAATCAAGAAACTGGGAACACTGTTTGCCTCTGGTAAGGAAACTGTGTGACTGAGGACAGGGAAAGAAATCCCTTTGTCCTTTGTGAATTTTGTACCATGGGCATGCATTATTTATTTAAAAAATAATTAAAAATTTAAAACTTGAAGACACAGAGGAAACATAGCATCAAAATTGACATCCCTTCTTGTCCAAAAAGGCTCACTAAGGCTTAAAAAAAGTGAAAAAAACAAACCATCTGATACAGAAATATGATCTCGAATTTGCAAAAAGATATTTGCATACTAGTGTCCTGGCACTGACAGATGACTGGAAGGGTATCCAAACTGGCAACTCTGATTATCTTTGTGGTAAATTAGTAGTAATTTTTATTGTTTTCTGAATGCTTTTCTGTATTATCTGAACTTCTACAATGAGCATTTATTGGTTTTATAATTAGAGAAACAATTTTAAAAAGACGATTCTTTTAAGTTTGTCTTTCTTTATGCAGTAGTTCTGAATTGTTGTAGCCTTGTAACTTATAGCCTCCTTGTTTTGGTAGATCTCCAATCTCTAAAGAGATTCTAAAACCCAGCTTTTAAACTATCTTACCTCAGATCCTCATAATAACAAACTCACATTTAAGCTTTCCTAGGTAGCTCTTCAATATAAATCCTTTACAAAAATAACCTGCAATAATTGCAGTAATCAGTACCTAATTTATATGATTGATCAACTCCTATATCACATATATTCACTTTCTTAAATCAGCAAGCCCCTGGAGGCTTTTAAGAACTTGGATATGGTTAATTGTGCGTGTTTCCTCCTATTTGATGCTAATTCATGTGTTGTCAAACATTGACTAGATTCCTTTTTTTCTCCCCTGTAAGAATGGCATTAACTTCAAAGTCACTTCTTCCTGTTCAAACAGAAGGCTTTAGCACATTCCTTCAAGAAACTGCCAGTTTTTCAAAAGTGTTTGTATCTGCCCCCAGTTTCTGCCACAGAGCTGAAACCCTTGTAATTTCCTAAGTGGTAAGAGCACTGGGAGCGTCTTTTGTTCTAATGAGGTGACTCTGGGTGGGCTCCTGGTTGGCTCCTGGATGGGGGCTGATCACCAGAAACACCAAGTCATGATTACAAGCCTGGACTCTTCAGCTCTAACCCCCGTACTCCAGAAAGGAGAGAGGGGTTAGAAATGGAGTTAATAATTGATCATGCCAACGTGAGGAACCTCCATAAAATCCCAATAGTAGGAGGTTTGGAGAGCTTCAGAGTTGGTGAATGCACCCCAACTCCATGGAGACAGAAGCTTTTGCACACTTGGGACCCTCCCAGACCTTACCCTGTGTATCTCTTTAATACCTGTTCATTTGGATCCCTTATTCACATCCTTTAATAAACCGGTTGTGTGTTTCCCTGTGCTCTGTAAACTACTCTGGCAAATTAATCGAACTGTGGAGGGGGTTGTGGGAAACTCCAGTTTGTAGCCAAATGGGAAAGAAGTGGTAGGCAACCTGGGGGACCTGCTAACTGTGATTGGCATCTGAAGTAGACAGTATCAGAATTGAGTTAAATTGTAGACAACCAACTAGTGTTGCAGAGAATTTCTTGGTGTGGGAGAAAACTAGACCTTCAGACTAAAATTAAAGGACAGTAAAGAGTAATTCAAACCCATATGAAGAAATAAAGAGCAACAATAAAGGTGTCTATGTAGGTAAATATAAAAGATGGAAAAAATTTATTTTTTGTTTGTAACTCCTTTTTGTCTCCTGCCTGATTTAAAAGACAACTGCATAAAGCAATAATTATAAATCTTCATTGAGTGGGCACACAGTGGATAAAGATGTAATTTGTGATAATAACATCTTAAAACTGGGGTGAGAAAAAAATGAAGATATATAGGAGCAAAGTTTTTGTATACTCTTGAAGTTGGTATTAATCCAAATTAGACTGTTAAAAATTGAGAAGTAAAGTTAATCTTCAAGGCAACCACTAAGATAACTAAAAAATATGTATTAAAAGAAATGACAAGTGAATTAAAATGGTACACTAGAAAATACATAAAGACACAAAACAAGGCAGTGATGGAGGAATTGAGAAACAAGAGACATAAAACAGGATTTTTTTTCTACATGATCCATGACCGATCTGTGGTTTAGTTACATTAAATTTAAATGGATTAACTCTCCAATTAAAAACCAGAGATGGAATGGATAAAACAACATGATCCAATTATATGCTGTCCTACAAGAGCCTCATTTTAGATTCAAAGACACAAACAGGTTGAGAAAATATAGGGATAGAAAAAGTTTTGTCATGCGAACATTAACCGAAAGAGAGCTGGACTTACTATGCTAAATATTGACAAAATAGACTTTAAGACAAAAATTGTTCTAGAGACAAAAGGACTTCTTATGATGATAAAATGGTCAACCCATCAAGAAGACATAACAATTGTAAGCATGCGTGTACTTAACAACAGAGCCTCAAAATACATGAGAAGAAAAGAATACAACTGAAAGGAGAAATAGACAATTCAGAACTAATGGTTGGACACTCCAACATCCCACTTTCAGTAAGGATAGAACAACCAGACAAAAGATCAACAAAGAAAAAGAAGACTTTAGCAACACTGTAAGCCAACTAGATCTAACAGACATCCGGAGACACTCCTCCTGAAAATATCAGAATACACCTCCTTCTCCCCTGCACATGGAACACTCTCAAAGATAGACCATATGTTAGGCCATAAAACACATCTCAATGAATTTAAAAAGATTGAAATCATACAAAGTATGTTCTCCAACCATAATGAATGAAATTAGAAATCAATAACAGAAGGAAATTTGGGAAATTCATAAATATGTGGAAATTAAACAACACATTCCTAAATAATCAGTAAGTAAAAGAAGAATTAACAAGGGAAATTAGGAAGTGCTTTGAATGAATGAAAATGAAAACACAAGTCACAATACTTTGAAAAGAAGACCACCATTTCTTTGATGACTTCTCAGATGTCTTGAACCGCTTCTGGTCATTAACTTCTTCCCTAGGTCTGGATAGGTCTACTGGCCCCTAATTCACCTCCACCTCTTGCTTATTTTACATCCTTCTGGAAAACACATCGTCTGAGGGGTCATGGTTTTATTAGAGTTTCAGAGTTTGTGCTTTGCATCAGCCACACAAATGTTCTCTACCCTTTTCAGGTCTCTCTAGTTGTTGGATTAGACATCTTGTATTTCATAACAGAATGGGACATGTGACTGAGGGACTCTTTAAGTTGCATGCCTTTACATTTTTTAACAAAAGCTTAACCTCTGAGCCCAGTCTCCCCTTTTAGCTGGCTCCTGGGACAAATCAGGAGGAACTTAACAGCTTCCAGTATATGCCAGGGTTCTGGGAGTGACTACAGGTGGAAGGGCTGTGCCACCAGCATGGCTAGCAGAGCAGGGATCTACCACCAATTGTGCCATTTTGGTTTTTTTAATCCAATTTCAGTTCCAAGGGAAAAAGACAAATCTCTTTATGAGTTTAAATCCATGGGCTTCCTTTTCTTAAATTAAGTGCCGTTTTTCTAACTGGTAGAATATTGTCTTGATAAAAATAGAATGTAGAACACAGCTGATTGGAGAATCACTTGTACATAGCACATGATTTTATATTCAGTATTTCAGGCTAAGGGGCAGCTTGTCAACCTTTATTCCAGGCTCTATTTAAAAATTTTCAGTTTTGTTTTAAAATTCTAAGGGGGGAAATCATGATGTGAAATAAAACCCATCTGTTTTTCGGCATGCCCCAGTTTCCCAGATAGAAGGATAATGTGGTTGGCTGGAAGAAATTACCTTTATACTATCCCTATCTGCTCAAGGATGTCTCAAAGATCAGAGGTATCAACAAACATGGACCATATTTTTCTTGGCTTATAATCTCATCCAGATAAATAACTTTAGAACAGGGGTTCTTGGAATGATCTCCAGACTAGCAATATCAGTATCACCCAGGAACCTGTTAGAAATGCAAATTCTCAGGCCTTACCCCAAACCTGCTGAATTAGAAACTCTGGGAGTGGGGCCCAGCCATCTGTGTGTTAAGTCCCCTGGGTGATGTTAACCCATACTCAAAGGTGAAAACTACTGATTTAGAAAAAATATAACCAGATTTCTAAGAAAGAAGAGAAACATCATAGCAATTCATTCTCTAAGATTTTTTTTGGTATCATTAATATACAGTTACATGAGCAACATTGTGGTTACTAGATTCCCCCCATATCAAGTCCCCACCACATACCCCATTACAGTCACTGTCCATCAGCATGGTAAGATGCTATAGAATCATTACTTGTCTTCTCTCTGCTAGACTGCCTTCTGTGCCCCCATCCCCAACATTTGTGTACTGACCATAATGCCCCCTTTTCCCCTTATCCCTCCCTTCCCACCTATCCTCCCCAGTCCCTTTCCCTTTGGTAACTGTTAGTCCATTCTTGGGTTCTGTGATTCTGCTGCTGTTTTGTTCCTTCAGTTTTTCTTTGTTCTTATACTTCACATATGAGTGAAATCATTTGGTACTTGTCTTTCTCTGCCTGGCTTATTTCACTGAGCATAATACCCTCTAGCTCCATCCATGTTGTTGCAAATGGTAGGATTTGTTTTCTTCTTATAGCTGAATAATATTCCATTGTGTATATGTACCACATCTTCTTTATCCATTCATCTACTGATGGACACTTAGGTTGCTTCCATCTCTTGGCTATTGTAAATAGTGCTGTGATAAACATAGGGGTGCATCTGTCTTTTTGAAACTGGGCTGCTGTTTTCTTAGGGTAAATTCCTAGAAGTGGAATTCCTGGGTCAAATGGTATTTCTATTTTGAGCTCTTTGAGGAACCTCCATATTGCTTTCCACAATGGTTGAACTAATTTACATTCCCACCAGCAGTGTAGGAGGGTTCCCCTTTCTCCACAACCTCACCAACATTTGTTTGTCTTTTGGATGGTAGCAATCCTTACTGGTGTGAGGTGATTTCTCATTGTGGTTTTAATTTGCATTTCTCTGATGACCAAGGATGTGGAGCATCTTTTCATGTGCCTGTTGGCCATCTGAATTTTTTCTTTGGAGAAGTGTCTGTTCAGATCCTCTGCCCATTTTTTAATTGGATTATTTGCTTTCTGTTTGTTGAGGTGTGTGAGCTCTTTGTACATTTTGGATGTCAACCCCATATCAGATATGTCATTTATGAATATATTGTCCCATAATGCAGGATGCCTTTTTGTTCTCCTGATGGTGTCTTTTGCTGTACAGAAGCTTTTTAGTTTGATATAGTCCCACTTGTTCATTTTTGCTTTTGTTTCCCTTGCCCCAGGAGATGTGTTCATGAAGAAGTTGTTCATGTTTATATTCAAGAGAGTTTTGCCTATGTTTTTTTTCTAAGAGTTTTATGGTTTCATGACTTACATTCAGGTCTTTGATCCATTTTGAGTTTACTTTTGTGTATGGAGTTAGACGGTAATCCAGTTTCATTCTCCTACATGTAACTATCCAGCTTTGCCAACACTAGCTGCTGAAGAGGCTGACCTTTTACCATCTCTAAGATGTTTTTAAATGTCTATGATATACTAAGTACTATTCTCCCAGTTTTCAGGGTATGTCCCTCAAAATTCTCCAGAGCCCAGGCTGGGAATATGAATGTGCAAAGCCTGCCGTGGCTGGCTGCAGCCTGAACAGTGCCAGGCCGACTACTTTCAGACCCCCATTGCTAGTGACCAGACCCTTTGGAGGAGCACTGCCTCTCTTTTCCCAAGAAGATGATAATCCTGTTAGGTGAAATCATTCTATTTAAATGTTGGGAAAATTGGAAACCAACTTTAAAAATAATTATTTCTTTTAAAAGGGCAGCTTTATTGAGATACAATTCACATACTATGCCAGTCATCCTTTTTAAGTGTACAATCAATGTTTTTTGGTATATTCACATGGCTGTGCAACTGTCACATCTAATTTTAGAGCATCTTTGTTCCCCCTAAAAGAAATCTCACATGCATTAGTAATCAATCTCCATTCCATGTTCCCTAATTTCACTCCTAGGCAACCACTAATCTACTTTCTGTATCTATAGATCTGCCTATTCTTGATATTTCATATAAATAAAATTATATGCTATGTGACCTTTTGTGCTTGGATTGTTTCACTTAGCATAAGTTTTCAAGGCTATTGTCATGCTATAGCATGAGTCAGTACTTCATTTATGTTTATTGCCAAGTAATATTCCATTGTATGGATAGACCACATTTTGTTTATCCATTCATCAGTTGATGAACATTTGAGTTGTTTCCATTTTTTGCTATCATGAATAATTATGCCATGAACATTCTGTAAAAGTTTTCATTTCTAGGTGTGGTTCTAGAAATTGCTGGGTCATGTGGTAACTTTGTGTTTAAATTTTTGAGGAACTGCCAGACTGTTGTCTAAAGCAGCTGTGCCGTTTTGCATTCCCACCAGCAGCATATGAGGAGAGTGTCCACATCTTCACCAACACTAGTTACTGTCTGTGTTTTTTATTCTAGTTATTCTGGTGGGTGTGAGGTGCTATCTCAGAGTGGTCTTGATTTGGATTTCCCTTATGACTAGTGATATCAAGTGCTTATTGGCTATTTATCTTCTTTAAAGAACTGTCTATTCATATCCTTTGCCCCATTTCTAAACAGGGTCATTTGTCTTTTTATTATTGAGTTGTAAGAGTTCTTTATAGATTTTGAATCTGTCTCTTATTCGATGTATTATTTGCAAATATTTTTTCCCATTCTTTGGGTTGTCTTTTCACTTTCTTGATAGTATCATTTGCATCATAAAAACTTGTAACTTTGATATAGTCCAATGTATCTTTTTATTTTGTCACTTATGCTTTTGATGTTGCATCTAAGAAACCATTGTCTAACTCAAGGCCATTAAGATTACTCCTATGCTTTCTTCTATGCATTTTAAAGTTTTAAATCTTACACTTAAAAGTATTCTTTTAAACCTTCAAGCTACTCAAAACACATCTCTATGTTGGATCTGGGTTATACCTGTAGAGTAACCAACTGCCAAGGTTTGCCTGGGATCAGGGCTACTCAGGACGTGGAATTTTCAATGGTGAAACTCAAAAGTCCGGCACAAACCAGAATGAGTTGGATACCCTACCAATAGACCTCCCAGTGCCACCTTTGATATAAACCTTGCCCCCTGCAACCATGACTTAAAATAAATACTGAATCCCTCCTCACCTTTGTGATTTCAGTTTCATTTATTGAATGCCCACAATGCAAAGCCCTGGGATCAAGTCTAGTGAAGAATATTTAAATTCCAATTTCAGTGTCCATAAATAAAGTTTTATTCTTCTAGGCCCTTGGGGACACATCAACAACCTTTATGGAGATTAAGTTGTAAAGGGAGCAGACATTTTAGTGAGAGGAACCATTGAACTAGATGGGGAGGGTTTTGAAAGTAGAGATTTGGTTTTATTTATCTTTGATTCCTCAGTGTCAGGGCTACTATATAAATCACCTGTAATACTTGTTGAATGAATGAGTGAGTGATCTTTGGCCTTCTCATACTAAACTTTTTTTCTTGATTTGTTTCACTAGACCTTCAGGTCTGTGATGACAAAAACATGACTAACTTGTGCTCTTGTCATATGCCCAGCGCCCATTACAGTGCCTAGCACACAGTTGGTGCTCAGTAAACAGTACTTTAATGCACGAATATATCCTTAAAACTTCCATTATCTGCATTTGTTATAGCAGCCTGAGTTTCAAGAATATTATACTAATACCAGCATTAACGAACCCCCACAAACAAACATTTAGAGAGGCGTCGTCAACCAAAGGATACTCATTGGTACCTCGACACCCATTTCATGGGCTCGAGTGCCCTCCAAGCAACCCAGTAAAACACCACCAGCCACAGAGAACCTGTAAATTCCTCTAATCAGAAGGGCTCTCCCCGCCCCCTCTCCCCGCGCAGCTAGCTCGGCCCTCCGCCTCTTCCTCTCCGCCCACTCTCCCCGCGGCGGCGGCTTTGTCTCGTGGGTCGGTCCCTGGCGGCTCCCTCCCCAACAGCTGCCGCTGGAGGGAGGAAGCAGAGCCGGAGCTGTCCAGCACCCCGGTGCTGAAACCCCGAGCGCTCGTCATCCACCACCACCATGTAAGAGCCATGAAAAGGGCTCGTCCTGGCGCAGCGCGGACATGGAGGAGGACTTATTCCAGCTAAGGCAGCTGCCGTGAGTATCCTGGGGGCGAGTGAGAGGCAGACAGGCTTTCCTTTTAAAAATGAAAATCCTGCAGGGGGGCATCTCTGCATGGCTTCTTGAATTTAAAGGGAACTGTTTCAGAGGAGAAAATTAGGCCTGGAGGAAACAAGCCATTTTCCTACCCCAGCAGCCCAGCTTCTTGTATTCTTAGTTCGATTTTTCAGATCCGTCAGAATCTTACGAGGAGTTATGGGTATTATGTTTTCCTTTTTAATTGCTCTCAGTCCTGAAGGGATTTTGAAGTCTGTGTGCTTTAAGAAAGCATTAGCTGCTGTTTTGAAATGGGGACTGAATTGAGGAGTCCATGCAATGACATCGGTTTTTTCCAGACCTTATCCTATGCTGTGAAATTCCTGATTTTTCTGCAAGGTCTTTCGGAAGGGAAGGATACCAGTGTTGCAGACTGGTTTCCAAAAAGCTGGAATTCCTTCCTAGAAAAGGCTTGGGCGAAGTCCGGTTTATAAAGTGAGTGGATGAGAAGGCTGTGCATAGTCTCTGAAACCTCTTGCCTTCTTCTGAATGAAAGGTTTCTGTAACAGCCAGCTGGAGTGACACTCGCTGTCTACGGCTATCCTTGGGAGCATCAGAATACGCTGCTTGGAGGATGGGATTTTTAAGGCATACCAGATTTGCTCTCACAATCTCGGGGGAACCCAACCAAGCAAGGACAGGGGCCTTACAGAGGGGCTTACAGATTTTTCCTACCACAAGCCAATGGTAACTTGTTAAGCAAATCCCAAGAATATTAGATGGGGCAAGATCATTAGTGAGGATTGTTGTTTTATTTTTTAGAAGCACTAGCCATTTAGACGGTAAAAGTGGGCACCATTTGGATTTGTTGGAAAGGATACATTATTGCTAGGATGTGTGTATTTCCTTGACTTAAATTGTTTTTCTCTCTGAGCCACTGATGAATTCTCCCAAGTGACTTTTAGTGTGAATGATAAAGCTCTCTGAGGCTCTGAGTACTGAAGAATATTGCAATGTTTACTTCTTAATCAGTGTGAAATTAATTTTTATTTAAAACATTTAATTAATTTAAAGTTTACTTTTAAGCTTTATTAATTAATCCTCAAATAGTATGTCTTATGTAATTCAGCATTATTTCACAAATGCTAAAGGATGTTATCATGTACAGAAGATGATGCATGAATATAAAAAATGTACATATCCAAGTGTAAATTTCTCAAGGAAAGCATACCACTTCATTGAAAATAAATATCATGTTCAAAAGCCAACCTATTATATCAAAATAACAAATAATTCAGAAACTGAAATACAAAATTTGGTACTCAGAATAAGAATACAGTTCATATTGGAGCTATAGTTTTACTGGGATAAATTTTCAAATAATGTCGTGCTCACAAAGCATGTGAACTTTGTAAATTACTCAGGTTCATGTGTATTTAATCTACTAATATAAGACATGATGCCATTGTGACAGTTTCGTCCTTAATAAAAAAAAAGTGAAAATAATATGAAGATTTTACTTATTTAAATTTATAAATTAATTTAGCTTCTATACTAATATATATTGTATAGTATAATCTATAAATAGGGTAAATAAAGTTCAAAAAGAAGTACAAGAATGAACAGTAAGTCTTTCTTCCCAAAGCCCTGTATTGTGTCTTGATTACTCTTTCTGATATTTTATGCAAATACAGAGAATATATATTAGAAACCTCAAATTGCATACTGGTTAAGAACATTGGCTCTTGAGTAAGACAGACTTGGGTTCAGATCCTGACTGCCACTTCCTGGTTATGTGGCTTGAGCAACTGACTTAACCCTACTGAGACTCAGTTTCCCTAGAAAATGGAGGTCATAAAAGTACTTGATTCATAGGGCTATTGTGAAGTTAGATAATGTAATGTGTGCTAAATGCCTGGCAGATACAAAGCACTCAACACATCTTAGCTATAATTATTATTACATCTGAAAAATAATTTATAAAAGCAAAGTATACAGGCTTCCTGTGCTGGACTCACAAAAATTGTAATCTGCAAACCCTAAACTAAACGTTTGAATGAAATCAAAATTAACTCTGAAATATGTTGAACCTCGATTTATAAAAAACAAGTAAATAAAAGAAACAACTATATGAATCTGAGTGGGTTTACAAATCACGACTTAGATGTTCTCAAACCACACCCTGTGTATATTATGCACAGGTTGCAGGCAGCAAATTTCCTAAGAGCAATATGGTTTTAAAAAAACATAGTACCTTGTAGAGGGTTGGCAAGTAGACTTTGGAACAGGCTCAGTCCCATGGGATGCCAAGTGTTGAGAGATTATAAATCACTAAGTAGTTTACAGGGTCAGGGAAGAGGGAAAGGGGATGAGAGTGCCTAAGAAAACTGCCCTTCCTTGCACTTTAGAGGCTCCTTCACAGAGCTCGAGGATGGTTCATTTGAGACCACAAACAACCTCTGCCTTTCACCTGCTGTCCATGGCACAGGACCATGCACAGAATGTTCAAGAGGCTGAGATTTTCTATCTAATTCTGCCTCATTGTGAGACCTTGTGCAAGTCAGGGTCTCTGTGTGTCTGGGTCTCTCCTAAGAAGATTTTTTGAAAGCAAGTTTTGCAGACTACATCGACTGATTGACTAATTGATTGATTCATTCATTTATTCAGTTCACTTGGGCACCATCCTAGGTAGAAGGGATTCTACAACTGAATAAGGCTGGCATACTCCTTGCCCTTGAGGAGCTCACAATCTAGGGCTGCAGCTGGTAGCCACTAGCCACATGTGGCTATTTAAATTTAAATTATGTAACCTGTATATAAAATAATCTCTATAGGATAATATACAAATTACAATATAATTTATAAATAAAATATGTGAAATTTGAAAAATCAATCTCTCCATTGCACAAACCACATTTCAAGTGCACAATAGCTACCTTTGGCTAGTGGCTACCATATAGGACATCACAAATCTAAAACATTTCCATAACTACAGAAAGTTCTATTGGAGAGTGCTGGTCTGATGGGAGAGGCAGCCATTGAACACATAATTGCACAGTAATTATGAGAACTGTCTTAAGGGCTACCAAGGATGAGTGCAGGCTGCACTGAGACTTGTTCTAGATGAGGGAGGGAGAGGATCGGAGAAGGAAGTGACACTGCAGCTGAGCCCTCAGAGATGTGTAGAAGTCATCCAAGGAAACAGAAGGGATGAAAAGCATTATAGACAATGGGAACTGTGTGGATAAAAGCCCCGAAGTGGAAAAAAAGTGTTGTATCTCAAAATCAGGCCAGTGGAGCAGAATACCAGTGGCTCAAGGGAAGGCTGAGAGAATGGCAAGAACCAGGCCTTACCGGACCCCGTAGTATGAGACAAGGAGTTGGAACTTCATTCTGTGTTTGTTCAATCCAGTCTCTCTCTTTCCTTTGCTACAAACCCTGTCTTTCAAGATTGAGTTTATGTTCATCTCCTCAATGAATCTTCCCCTGACGTCCTGGGATTAATCAACAGCAGGGGTAAAAGTATGGGTTCTGATTCAGGCAGACCTGGGTTCGAACACTGGGCTAGTGACTTCATCTCCCAAAGGCTGGGTGCCTTCTGTCAAGTTGGGATGATGGCATAGCTGCGTGGCAGGGCAGTTGTGAGGATAAAGGAGATGATCAGCAGGAGCTGTCGGCACGGTGCCTGGCTCCAAGTATGGTCTCGGTTAACAGAGCTGGTGTTATTTGCCTTCCTCCATCCATTCTGGATTTGTTTCCCGTGTCCTCCAACACATTCACATAGCAAAGCACCTGGAAGTCATGGTCTCCTTTTCAGAACACTAAGTAAATGTCCCCAAAAGGAGAGGATAGGATCCCTGGCCAAGGAGGAGAGATAGGGGTTCATTGTCACCCACACAGGCAAAAAGTAGGGAGTTATTGAATCCTCAAGGTTAATCCAGCAAAACCCTTTAGAACCTCAAGCTCAAAGCTGCTTATACCCCATCATTTCAAACACATGCCAGCCAGCTTCATGAACTCTAGACATGTATGTTTCAGTTACTTAAGGGGAACAGTCTGGAGTCCAAAGAAAGAACTCCTTGCAAAGACGCCATTGCTTGGATGATCTTAGGTCTTAGGGAGGATGGTCCCCGGGCCTGATGGCCCAGGTGGTGGCGTTCCAGCCCCAGCCAAGCTCATCTCTGGGTTATCTAAAAGAATTATGTAGATCTGCATGTGAATCATTGTGTGATCTTGGGGCCATTCATTTAATTTCCCTGAGACCTAAGCGGGTGCCTGGGCATTTTCAGCTTGAAGAGACTGTGTTTCTAAGCTGTCTAGACGAGTGTGCCTGGTACCATCCTGGATTATGGCGCTTGTTCCGGTGCACGTACTAATAGCCCCTTGCTTACTCTTTAATGAAGGATTTCTCAACCTTGACGCTATTCACATTTTACGCCAGAGAGTACTTTGTGGTGTGAGCTGTCTTATGTACTATAGGGTTTTTAGCACTATCCCTGGCCTCTAGCCACTTGATATCACAGCCACCCTCCCCTCCAGTATGACAATCAAAACTGTCTCCAGACATTACCAGTGTCCTCTGGGGGACTAAATCACCCCACATTGAGAACTGCTGCTTTAAAGTGTTCTAGTTTAGACAATAAGTTATTTGGTCTATTTCTAGAGCATCTTCAGATCTTTCTTTAAATCTCACTTTTCTTCCCTTAATCATGTCAAGACCTAGCACAAGTTCTGGCAGCAACTTGCGCATCTTCCTCCATCCTCGGTAGGCCTTTGGGAAAGGACTATAAACCCCGTGAGGGCAAGAATTTAGTCTGACACATAGAAGGTTCCTCACTACGTGTTTGTTGAATGACTTAATAAATAAGTTACAAAAACAAACTACCTGGAAAGCTATAGACAGGGCTTCTGCTCTCCCTGGTAGAAGTTACCCATCCCCCTCCAGTAAGGCCATGTCCCAGAATGATTAAGTGCAAGAGCTCTCTATGTAAGCAGACCTG